CGCAAAAGGATAACACTTGGCTACTTGTGAATATATGCTACGGACTTGGTCCATTACATTACTGTGGTGGCAACACTTCTTAATTACTGACCTGGTCGACCGGATTGTGATCTTCTAAGAAACTTCTAAGTCTTGATAGGACTGCGGAGTGGTTCTTTTTGTTTTTAAAACTGATCAAATATTTAAATGTCTGACTTTTGGATCGTTGGAGATGATTTAAAGGAGAAAAATACGTAGTTACAAAGGAGTCTGTATCCAATCTCAGAAATACAAGGAACTCCCAGCTGAAGGCTGAAACTCCATCCTTTTCTCAAACTATTCTACTGGCTTATCACAGGTCTCTTAATGTCATATTTGCTGCCCTTTGTAGTCACAGCAGGAGGACAAAGAGGGCTTTGTAACATACCTAACGCAGAGGGTATCTGATCCTTGATTGAGGTTCCATCTCAGTACTATAATGGAAACAGTAATATATCCACCAGCATTCTAAGCTTTATTTCTTTTGCCCCACTATAGATTTGGCCAGGTTCCAGTGCCTGTCCTCTTATTCTGATCCACCCCAAATAAAATATTTTACTTTGTTGTTTCCTTCATAATAAAATGAAAACTTCCATGAACTATAGAGTTCTGTTTGTGCACAAAATGTAACCCATAAACCTCTCTGCCTTGTATGTTGTATAACAACTTGTTGAAGTTAAACTCTGTCTTCTTATTTCAATAGAAGAAAATGTTGGAGGGGTATACAAAGATCTTCAGAAACTATCCCGCCTCTTTAAAGACCAGCTGGTGTACCCTCTTCTGGCTGCTGCCCGACAAGGTAACATCAATAAAAGCAACTGGTATGTTATCAGTTGGGAACTATCCAAAGCCCTACATAGAAAGAGTCATGAATAACCTAAGTGCTGGCTACATAGGGAGTAAGAATAAATATTCCTAGTTCTAAAGATATTAAATTAGTAGTCATCTAATTTTAGAAATGTTAGTAAAACTGTTAAAAATCTGAAATTGCTTGTGTAGTTCAAATTAAATAGAGCATTTGGGTTTCACTTAATGGGCTCAAGATTTATGCCACTGCTGAGACAGCTGGAAAGACTATTTCCAATGGTGATGATGACAAAGTAGCAACCAGGCTTAAAGTGCTGAATTCCTTGGCTGAAGTTCTGTGCTGTGTATTTGTTCCTTTTGTTAGGCTGGGGGAAAGCTGTGCAGTATTACATCTTTTGTGGGATGACATGTTTAATGGTTGGTTACTGAGATGATGTTGGAAGGAATGGTGTGAAGCAACCGAGCTTGGTGATTTGTGTGGCAATAGTAAAGCATAGTTTGTTTTTACAGGAATTGCCAGACTAAATCTCAGCCTCACAATCCAAAGACAAACTCAATGATAAATTCTTTCTATTGGAGTATTTTTTGGATTTTGTTGTGTTTTCATGGGATTAGAGGTTCTTTGTTGAAAGTGGTTTATGTGGATTACTGGAATTAGACAAATATTGCCTTTACCTTTCCAACCTCTTGCTCAGTTTTGTAGTCTGTGAAGCATGATTAGTTCCTTAGGGCATCTTAAGTTTGAGGGACAATAGTGTGGAGCATAGCCAGTGCTATATTCCTATTTTGTCCATTTCACATATGTGCGGAAAGTGTCTCTCTCCAATCTGTCATAGTAAGTCTCATCATAGCACTTTCAGAGTTAAGTAATGCAACTGAAAGCTCCATGGGAAATGACTTAAGGGAAAATGTTTCCAAACCAGGAAAGGACCCCTTGATGATGGGAATGACACTCAATTATTGCAAATAATGCTGCTTTCTCTTCACCTCCCGTTCTAGCTCTGAACCTGCCAGATGTGTTTGGCTTGGTAGTCCTTCCTCTAGAACTGAAGCTACGGATTTTCCGACTTCTGGACATCCGTTCACTCCTCTCTCTGTCTGCTGTCTGCCGAGACCTCTACACAGCTTCCAATGACCAGCTTTTATGGAGATTTATATACCTGCGGGACTTCCGAGGTGATTTCCACATGCACCCTTTCTCCCTAATTGGGCTGCCACCTAAGGTCTCTTGTCAAATTCATTTTAAGAGGGGCTTCCTCAGCTACATCTGTTTCCTAAAAATGGAGAGTAAATTTATTAATTAATCATTATATTGACTAATTGTGTTGGCTAGTTGAAAGCATAATACTGGCAGATGCTTCCTTCGGTGATTCTTAGATTATGGGCAACTGATAATCTGCCAAACATTTGCTGGTGGTCCACAGAGAGCTGGCCCGTCACCTGGTGCTGAGTCTCCTACTTTTCAGCTGTTTCTATAAAGACTCAGGCTCTTTATTGCAAAGATGGGGAGAGGAAGAAACCTTTGCCAGTGTCTCTCAAAAGAAGTTCTTTAGGAAACTAAGCAGTTATGGGTTGAGAGGCAAAGTGCTGTCACACAGACACTGGCAGACACTGACAGTATTTCTAGGGTTTCTGTAGTTGATTAATAGATACAGGAGCTTGAAATTTGGTGTGAAGCAGGGAGAATGAATAGATTGAATGGCTCCTGGCAGTACATCTTCTAGGAGTCCTAATGTTTAAGGATACTGACTCTTTATATACAAAGGTGCTTAGGGTCTGATCACCTACCTTATTTGTAAACCCCCGCAAAAACTATCTACTTATGCACCTCAGTATGAATGTGTTGTTTTTTGTTTTTTTTTAAAATGCTTATTAAATTTTGCCCCTTCACAGATCAAACTGCTAGGCCTCGCGACACAGACTGGAAAGAGGTATGTGGGTATTATATATGTTCTCTTTGGGATAAATCTCCATGGCTTGTTTAAGAATGAGCGTAAGGCTTGGAGATTAAGTGGGAGCAGAGATTAGGTTCTAAAATGCCTGGAGCTGAGATCTTCATATGCACATCATGTTCAGCCCACACAGGAGAAAATGCATTGCATCACTCCTAGTACCCTCCTTGGCCAAATCCTGGAATAAATTTGAGGATCCTCTGCAGGGAGCTAGCTGTATGCAGTCCTTGGCAGGAAGGAGGGTTGCTGTTTTAGACATTGAGACTGGCAAGAGAGAATCTCAGCAGTGCTGCAGAACAGTGTAACTGAGTCTCAGATACCAGGGCCTGTTTGTAAACATTACTATCAATTCTGAAATGACCTCTTCAGCTAGAGAAGCACTAACCTCTAGTGATTAGAGCAAGAGACTAGGAGTCACTGACTTTTTATGACACATTGGACAAGTAACTTAACTGCTCACTATCTCAGTTTTCCTGTCTAAAATGTGTATAATGGCACAAACTTTACTTTTCAGCCAAGGATCTTAAAATATGATTCATGTAATTGTAAGTAACGCTTTGTGGGGATAAGGAAAATTAGCCCTGTCTCTATTATATTTCATTTCTAAGGTGGCTTTTTGATGATTTTAGGCAAATATTTAGATCCCAAAGCAGCCATAAACCACACAAAATTAAGTGCCAAATTTGTACTTGGTGTAATCTTGACAATTTCAGTGGAATTAAACCAGGGATAAATTTGGTCATAGAGGTTTAAAGTAAATCCAAGTAGTCAGTATTTTTGGGGTTCTAATTCGATGGGAATCCAAAAAGAGAGAGACCGACCAAGTCAGAGCCCTTTCCACAGAAAAGTCTGATGCTCAGAAGGATGGTCTGAGTCTGCTGAATCAGGACAGTCCTGCCGTGATTTGAATACGGGCAGCTGGATCATTAGTGTGCATATTGTAAATAACTGATAGAACATGGAGGGAGCTCTCCCTTGCCTTCTACGCCTGTAACAAGTGTGTGAAGGAAATCCAGTGTGGGTGAAGCTAGAACAATGAGCTCCACTCAAAATTTAATCTCCATTTTTTCTTTTCTGTAGCTGTACAAGAAGAAACTAAAGCAGAAGAAGGAAAACCTGAGATGGAGGCACATGATGTTCCTGCCCCCACCTCCTCATCCCATTCCATTTCATCCCAGCCCATTCTATCCAAACCCCTTCCCTCCCAACCCATTCTCTCCTAACTCCATCTACCCCCCAATGATCATTGGTGGAGAATATGATGAGAGACCAACTCTTCCTTATGTTGGAGACCCAATTAACTCACTCATTCCTGGCCCAGGGGAGGCACCAGGCCGGTTTCCTCCATTCAAACCACATTTTGATCCAATTGGCTCTCTGCCAGGGCCAAATCTAACACTGCCAGGGCGAGCTGGTCCCAATGACAGATTTCCTGCCAGACCCAGCCGAGGCCGCACAATTGACATCCGCCGTTCATTCATCTGACTGCCACCTCTTCCTTTAATGAGTTTCTAAATTTTAGTTCCTGAGCTTGCTTTCTAACTGCAGGAGATTACATCAGGGCACTAACATCAACCTTCCTTTCCGATTATGGTGGGAATTCATGGGCACAAAGATATCTTGCCCACAAGGTATGGGTTCACTTAGTCTCTGTGGAAGTGATAATGCTGCACCACCTAGAATTCAGTGCTATTTCCAAAGGAGCTCTGCCTTGAAAGTTTGTGCTACTGTGTTTTCCCCTCTCTAATCATCTGTGAAGTGCTACTTAGAGAGCAGAAGGTTGTTGGCCTGATATTTGCTGCATCAGATAAAGAGCACTTTAAGCACAAATACTATGCTGGTCTGACTTCTTGTTATCTGAGTGATTGAATTAAGTGTTCGGGATATATGATGGCTTTTATAATCCACCTGGCTAAAAGCCTTTCTCAGTAAGGGAACCCTTCTTTTTCCACACTATATAAGGTGCTAGAACTGGTGTTTACAGCACACATTTGAGTGTCTGAAGTGTTCCTAAAGTTGATCAATTACTTTCTCTTCACTAAAAGAAAAGGAGTACTTGTGGCACCTTAGATACTAACAAATTTCACAAGTATTCCTTTTCTTTTTGTGACGGCTACTAACTAACACGGCTGCTACTCTGAAACCTTTCTCTTCACTGTTTTTTTTTAATTTTATTTTACTACTTAAAAAGCAGTTTTGGTGTAGGACTCAATGCACAAAGAATACAGGGCTAGGTTTCTTTACTGCAGAAATAATATCACAGAACAGTTCATCTTACAAACAGCTGAATAAAAACATGCTACAGTTCAATCCAAAAGTCTGAACAAAAGCACAAGCAAAATGCAATGACCTGCAGCAAAACTTAAAGTGCATCTGTCTCCCTCCTTCTTTAGACTGTTTGGTTTTGCATATAGTGAGTAAAGGCATTTTTGTGGGTTTAAAAATGGAGCAAAAATAAACCTTTCCCAGCTGGCTAACCTACCTAGTACAGTAAAATAGGGTGACCTTCCTAGCTGCAGTGAAGACAAGATTGCAGCAGGAAACCCTGAGTGACTTCCCACATAGACTGGTATGTGATCCCATTACTGCAGTATCAAATGATATATCTTTCAGGTGAGTAACACATCTCAGCATGTGTTTTCAGCGCCATTAATACATTCCCATTTTAATTAAAGCAGCTAATGGGACCATAGCCAAAGCATCCTAACAGATAGATCATTCCATGAATGTACACCGTTATTGAGCCTGGGACTACCTCTGGCCTAGTTAAAAGAAGATGGCAGTAATTATAAAGGGGATCTTTACTAAAGAATATGTTTGTTTAATAAATTTTCCAAACTTTTTTGAGAATAGTTTTCAGTATCTCTGCAAGTCTGAATAGTGCTGATAACTCCATCACAGCTGCTATTTTACTGATATTTCCCTGTTCCAGGTTATAGTTGAGACAAAGGAAATTAAGTCTGGCTTTTCCTGTCTTTCACTATCAAAGCAGCAGCTTCCTGTTAATTGTTATTACCTGTGTGATTTAAGGTCAGATTTTCAGTGGCACATCTGCCCATCTGGTTTGAAATCCTGACACTACTGAAGACAATGGGAGATTTGCCATTTATTTTAATGAGCCAGGATTTAATCCATTTTGCTGGATTAAATGGCACAAATGGCCCCTGCATTCTTTGTGCTCCTGCAGTTAATTGCTAGTGCAAATCTGCATTTGGATAGCTGAACACCTGACTAGGGATGTAGTAGCAGAATGTAAGGACACAATTTTCCCTTTAGAAAGCGAGGCTGCCCTTAATCTTTGTTTACTTGTAGTGGCTAGAATACCTCATTCCATTTTAGTTTTCCTCTAAGCAGAAATAGGTGTATGTTTAGGCCTCATAGCTAACAAATGATGATTGACATTCCATAGGTTATAACAGAAAAAAGGGAATTCAGGCTCTGTAGGTATTGTGCCATGATGAGCACTTTAGAAATGTACCCATAATATTGCAAGCAACCACATGTGAGTTTAATGCATTGTTTGTTTTAAAATTATTTATTTTCTTACCTTGACCCGTTCACTAACTAGCTCTTAAAAAGCAGATATCCGGAAAAGAGATTTGTGTATGTGTTACACTGATAAGTTAATTTAGGGGGGACAGTTCCTGGCTTACAGTGTTGGAGCCTGAAGTGTATTTTTTCTACAGGCTTCTCCATGTTGCCTCCATCTGCCAGTGTGTCCCAATCCTACTCTGGAATGACTACCTCTAGGGCAGAGAGGGTATCTGTCCATATCCAATCTGTATCTGTTGTTTCTGTTTGGCATACTGCCACCAAAGGTGCCAATTGTGGTGGTTGTGATATGTATGCTTGTTCACAAGGAAGGGAATTGAAATGACCTGTTTATAAAATGAAGCTAGTCATTACCATCGCTCATGGCTCTCTCGTGCTGGATTTAAAACCGTGTGACCTAGAGCACAAGAATCTAACTTTTTTTCCTGAGCCTTCCAATTCCAGAGAATTGTTTTTTATGTTTTTATAACCGAACATGAATGTATAATAAGAATGCAAACTTGCCATGGACAAATGCATATGTAATTAGATACAGGGGAGAGGAACAGCTGAACATTGGCTTTGGGATGCCCACTTATCATGTCAGTCTTCCAGTTCTAAAAGAGGGCAATCGGGTCGCCACTCTTCATGCAATTCTCCAAAAGTGAAACCAAAGGAAATCAAAGATCTGGAGCCCCATATCTTTTACTCACAGCAATCCCCTATTTGCAATACCTCTAGAGCTGCTGCTAATGGACACTCAGGAATGAGATGGCATAATGCAGTGGTCCTCAAACTATTGTACTGGTGACCCCTTTCACATAGCAAGCCTTTGAGTGCAAACCTCCCCGCCCCTTATAAATTAAAAACACTTGTTTATATATTTAACACCATTATAAATGCTGGAGGCAAAGCGGGGCTTGGGGTGGAGGCTGGCAGCTCATGCCCCCTATGTAATAACCCCCAGTTTGAGAACCCCTAGCATAATGGGTTTTCTTTCTTTTTTCACATTTAAGCTGACCGGAATGCAAAGCCTGACAATATCCAAATGGAGTGAGCAGGATACAGTAGGCAGCAGCACCGAGGCACTATCTATGGTGGATAAATGGAAGAAAGGAGAGCAATGGTTCCCAGGGCATGCTTACGGTTCTCTAATCCCTGGCATTACACAGGAATTTTAATTGCATTGGAATGTAAACCATATTAATTATCTTTCAGGTCCAGGTGCACTGGTTAGGCTGAGAAACTGTCTATTTACAAACATTTCTGCTGTTGTCATACACAAGAATATATTCACTTTTTTTTAATCTGTAGGCAAGGTGCATGAAAACAGAATTGCTGTGTGTTTGTAATTCATCAGTTCCTGTTCTTATAAGCTCTGCAAGTCCCTCTTTTCCCAGAAGCTTCCACATATGTCACTCATCTTCAGATTCTGGAGTGAGCCACCTGCCTTCCTCTCTGCTGTTTATCGTAACAGAATCTACTAGCAAACGCTACCCCAGGGACAGTATATTGTTTTCCCTGATATCTTGTCTGATGCTGTTACTTCCACAGTACCTAATTCTTGTGCTGCATACAGCATTATTGACTCTAGTTGAAGAATGAGCAGCAAACTAGTTAAGGAGACTATGTTGGTTGACCAAGCCAAAGGCCTAAAAGAATGTATAAGATAAGGTACATCCGCATCCTATTTCAATTTACTTCCTATTAGTTGCTTTTTCTGCTACACTCTTCTCTTTCAGCCCCTTGGCATATAAATTACACCCACTAAACCCCACTCTTGTGTGACTTTGAACAAGTTATTTAATTTCTCCGTGCCTCAGTTTCCTATCTGTAAAATGGGGATAATACTCCCCTTTTCCCACCATCTCACTCTCTTGTCTATTTAGACTGTCAACTCTTTGTGATGAGGACTGTCTCTTGCTATTGATTGGAGACTTTCAGTAGCGCCTCAGATTTAGGAGCAAAAGTGGCATTGACTTCAATGGAATTTGCGGTTTTAAAAGCAATAGGTGCTTTTGCAAATCTCCCCAAGCACAAGGGTAGCCCTGACGGTGGGTTGGGGCTCCTAGGTGCAACTGGAATATTAATAATAAACTTAGAACATAACCCTCTTACCTCTAACCTGTAAACTTGGCTGCCTGCAACTGACAGCACTTCTGACTTGTCAGACCTCTTGTGTGGCATGAAATTGAAATGTTGTTCGGGAGCTAGAGCACTGACTGAACATGAATTACCAAGTAAAATTGATTGTGGCTGTTGAGACACACTGCAGCCCTTGTTTTTTGTGAGGGGGGTAGTTAGGCGTTCCAGTTTGTTTGCTTGCAGCTTGTAAGGTGACATTTGGGAGCACAAAGCTAAATGCCTCAATGAGCAGGTCTGTCTCTTATACTGTCAATGGATTTGTTACTTCACATTGTACATGGCAATTCTGCAAGCATAACAATTCCTATAATCCAGTTCTATTCTATTCTCATAAACTGTGTGCCAGTAACCCTGACACCTTTGCTATTACAGCAGCACCAGCTGAGCAGTTCAGACAAAGATGTAAATTTTTAACTTGGATTGTTTAAAATCAAAACAACCATCTTCTCGTAGTGCCATAAGGTCGTTACTGTCTTGCTGTAACTACCCTTCCTCACGCCTGCTCTGGTCAGAACCGCTGCATGTGCTGTTAGAAACATACGTTAAGTAGGGTTTAAACATACTGTTTTGCTAAAGAGACTGATTTTCAAGAAAAGACATGGACAGCTGAAGCTCAGTCCTACAGTATGAAACATTTCAGCAGAGAGCAACTCTTAGGCCTTGTCTACCCTAGAAAGGGTTTGCCAGTAGAGCTAGCTATCTTGCGAAACCTGTCCGGGGAGAGGCGGTTTACGCTGGCAAGAGTGTTTGTCCTGGTATAGCTTATTCTGGTTCGCTAAATGAAATAAGCTGTAACAGCAAAAGGACTTTTGCTCGCATAACTGCATCCACAGTAGGGATACAGTGAGGTGACTTTTTCCATATACCCATAACTATGCTGGCAAAACGTCAGCGTAGCGCAGGCCTGAGACTTAGTTTTCACTGTGTTCCTTTAAACTGGAGATTTCTTTGAAATAAGATACTGAGTTGCTGTCTGAACTGTTGATGTACATCCCGCCCCCGATCTCTCTTGCTTTAATTAAGTCAACTATTGTAGTTCTTTTGGTCTCCTGCAGTCAGATAATGCCATAGTAGTATGAATAGAGACTGCCTGAGTGGCACATACCAAGGTATGTAAAATATAATAGGGGGCTGTGACCCTCTGTGACTTCACCTAGCCTATGTATCTCTCAGAATTATGCTGGCCTTGCTAGCTATGCCAGCTGGGGATATGCAGGTTGCTTGAGAGGACTACACTATAGCAACAAACAGCTTGTATAAAGTACAGGCTTTGGGGTTTTTTTTGTTTTTTTTTAAGTGATGGTAGTTAACTACTGGAACAGTTTACCAAGGGATGTGGTGGATTCTCCATCACTTGAAGTCATTATATCAAAATTACATGTCTTTCCAAGTGCAATGTTGTAGTTCAAACCACAAATTGGGAGCTTGATGCAGGAATTACTGGGGGAGGGTCTCTGGCCTGGGTTAAATAGGAGGTCAGACTAGATGATCACAATGGTCCCTTCCTTCTAGCCTTAAAGATCAATGAATTTCTCACTGCCCTTTCATTTAGGACAAAGCATCACTTTGTTAATTTAATAAACCTGCACTCTAAAATGGTCTGGAGGCTAAAAATGGGGGGGGGGGGGGGAACGTCCTACTATCCTCAAACCCAAAGCTCACTGTTACCAAATATGCACTGCTGGGAGCACTTCTGGGCCTTCCAATTGCCTCCTATGGCTGAGATGTAGATTTTGCTTCCAGAGGCTGCATGTACTCATAGCTGCACAGAGGTCTTGAAAAGAAATGAGTGGGCGGGGGAGGATTCAGGTTATTGGGCCTGAGGCAGCTGAGTAGCACTAAATATTACCTTAAATTTGTATTCCCTTAGATGAGTCGCTTTGGCATAAAGTCAATGCTGTTAGCTTGTAGTAGTAAACAGTGGAAAGTAAACGCTGCTGCTCTGAGCAGCAGCATTAGCAAGTGCTCCAATTGGTGGTACAGTGACCGCTTTGGGTTGATTTGAAGTGCAATGCCAGACTAGTCTCCTAGTTATTTCAGTTTTGCATAGACAGTGCTGGAAAGAGGAAGCAAAACAAGTTATTTGGTTTATAAGTGGGGGTGGAATAGCTGAGCTTTCTGGCAGTGAGCCCTTTTCTTTGATGTACCCTGGAAACATTTACTCTCTAGAAAAGCCTAGATAGAAAGGAAAGAGCCTAAGAATTGGGGTGTGTGGGGGTGTGTGTGTGTGTAAAGAAGGAACACATACCTTCCCCCCACACCAGAGTTGCACTACCTCCTCTCCACAAAATGGAGCCTGTTAAATCACCTGTGGCTTTTGCCACTGGTACAGTGTGTGCTCATGGCAATTCAAGGCCATTTGTCACCCTTTATTGCGCCTGGAGACTGCAAAGCAGCACGTGCCACTTTCTCGCTCCTGCACAGGAGCAGTAACTTGTAGTTATAGTGCTATGTGTTTCACCACTTAGCAAAGCCGGAAGGAAGATCTAGAAGCACAGAAGGAAAACGATAAATCAGGAGGTTTTTTCCTTCAATATTAACCTACAGACATAATTCACTGGTCCAAAAAACCTCCCCACCCAGAAAAAGTGGCATGCTGGAAAGCACTCAGCTCGCCAAAGACATTTCATCTACAAAGACCCAGTTAGGATAGTCCCTGGGAGCTGATTGTCTTGGGGCCCTGTGGCTGTGCTGTAGTGACAGTTATTACTGGTGGTGTGCAGGAATTGTCTGGCTTTATTCCCATGTTGGTGTAAAATCCAAGATGTCCAGCCTGCTGTTTTTCTTGCTACTTTGGGGTTCTGTTCCCATTTCAGCTTACAGCAAAGCACTAAACCACAGGCAGAGCTGCACACTGAAATGTGTTTGATATCCATAAAATGTCCTCTCCCAGCCCCAAACAGGAACTTCCTGGTGTGCTGCAAAGGGGACATGGGCTCAAGGGTCCAGCCCTAAAGTTACATATGAGGATTGGTACAACACTACTAGATAGAGCCAGAAGGAAAGTTTAGCAGAAATGTCTTCTGTGTCATCTGCCTCCTCACTGGGGTTCACCGGGTCTCCCTTCCTGTGCATAAGATTGGTGGGATGGAAATACCACACTCGCATCAGGTGTATTGTAAACTGAACTGCTCCTGTTCCAAGGAGCAGAGCCTCAGCTGGGGTAAATTTTCCTAGCAGCAGTCATTAATGTCCAGCTATTTATATAGCTTCTGTCACTCTCATTTTTGTCATGGCTCAGTCCCAAGCTAGTTGCACACACTCCTGATTTAGATTGTCACATGCCACGAGGGAAAGCACAGCAGGCAATGGTTCAATTATTGGTCCTTCTGCCACCTTTACGAGTTCTCCAGAAAAATCATTCTTTGGGGTACCCGTAATACTGATAACCTGCCCCAGGGCAGATTCCTTGGGGTAGTTAATAAAAAGAGTAGGTAATCAGACACATCATGGCTCCAGCTGTAAACTAGTTCTTCACACATTGTCCTCCCACTTTGGGGAGGGGGGGGTGTCACCAGGCTCTACTGGTTGTTCTCTCTCCCAAGTGATAGTTTTCCAGGGGGAAGCCATCCAGTCACAGGTCTCTCACCTTGCACTGACTCCATGGGTGAAGTCCTGGCCCCACTTACATCCATGAAAAACTCCCTTTGACTTAAGTGCGGCCGGGAGTTTACCCCATGGCTCTCTCCATTCTGTAGCATGGAAGACTCATAATGGTACGAACACCTCAAACTCTGCTACTAATTAATCTTGCCCCATGGGGATCACTTAGCCAGATGCAACCAAGTCAGATTATACAGATTTAGCAGCTTGGATGGATTTTATCTGGAGTTTGTGTGAACTATATTTGAACATAAATTATCTATTTTTTCAAGATGTGTGGCAGTCCTATTTTCTGGTTTATTTTTGAGCTATGGCTGTAGGGTTAGAACATGATACCTTTCTCCCAGAAATCAAGAAACACATATAGGAAACATAGCCTCAAAGCATGAAATAGACACATTTAAATTGCTACTGGTAAGATGGCCCTGAGCAGAGCAGAAATCCAACATAATACTTCAACGTAATGCTTAAATGATCTCTGGGACTCACTGACAGCTGATACCGAGTTTTACTTGAAATACAGTTCTGCTCAGAAAAGTGACTCTGTAAAACTAGCATTATGAGGTTCCAAATTCATTATGTCTTCATGATTTCCAGATCAAACATGCTCACTCAAGTAAATAGATGTTTATTTTAACTTCTGTCTCTGCACATTTGCATCAGAAATCAAACTCTGTTCCTTTTGGGTCAGCCTCAATGAGAATAAAGAGTCTTTAATGGGAACCTAGTTATTCATTCTATTAATAATGTGCAAGCCAAAATGGAATCTAATTTGCTCTCCAATAGCTTTGTTGGCTTGGGAAGGGGTGATAGCAGTAAAAAGTACTTTGAAATTATTTCAGGTCACTCAAGTAAGCAGATCTTACTAACTATGCACACAAAGCAGATCTACCAAGTGAGAAAGTGCCATTTTTACATAGTCACTTTTTTGGCCCATGTTGGACTAACCCTTAAAATTAAAACATCTAGGGCTAACTAATTTCTGGCAAAACCCATTTAGAAAAGATAGCCTGAAGGATTATGTTCCCAGATTTTGCATGAACCATTAGGTACCAATGAGTAAATTCCACAATAACATTGGGTAGGTTGATATGAAGAGTGGACTAATAAAAGCACTGATCTGACTCCAGGGATGTTAATCAGAAAACAAGCTAGCAAAAGACTTCCTCAGGTTGCGGATGGTTTCAGCTTTTGCCTCATCTTCGTTGGCATTTCCCCGTTGTGATGATTCAGATATGCTGAAGGTATTCGTCAGGGACTGGGATTTGCTGAAACAGAAAGGGACATTCATGCAGAGAAAGACTGATGTTGGATTCATTTGGGGAGGGGAAGTTGGCAATTCAAAGCTCGTCATTGATGCTATGCTGCAAATGCAGCAGACCAGTTCAAGGGCAGATACGGGGTGTCTCCATAGGTTGAGAAGGCACCTGAGCCCTGTTTGGAGGCTGATGGCTCTGATATTCACAGTTCAGGCTGTGTTTGGGGTGTGCGGAGATTGAGGCAAGGTTTTCAATACTAGCATTTTTACAAATCTCCATGTGGCTATCTGCTATCACAATGGACTAGAGGCCAAATCCAACTCTCATTAAAGTGAATGGAAAGTCTTCCATTGAATACAACGGGAGCTGGACTGAGCACCAGGTCATCTCCAGTAATGTCTATGATACCATACACTTCCCAGCTAGGGTCCTTGCCTGTGTGTTCTGTGACTTCCTCACCAGAGGTACTTAATACACACATTAGAGCTAAGGCCCAAGCAAAGGAACGTCTGTTGTTTACAAACCTCAAGAAACATGCAAATCCAGTATGTGAAGAAAAGCAAAGGTCCCAGCTGCACCCTTGGCAGGAAAAGAGATGATTATGGATGCCAGCCTAGTGCTCCACACAGCTATAGCAGAGACCCTTCTTAATTTCCAAGGTCTTAGTTTTCCACTGCCAGAGGCTATGAGTGCTGTTGAGGCCAGACTAATGGTCCAATGGTTCATTATGCAGGAAACCCAAGCATGTCTTTCGATCTGCAGGTGGCAGAATTAGCAGTTCACCCAGCCCTTCAGGCCTTGTCTACACTAGAGAGTCCCCCACCACTGCCAGTGCCAGGTCAGCTCCACTAGTGGTCCCAACACAGGGAGCACTAGTGGCCATCTGGGTTTTGAGCACCACATGCTTTGCTCTGACATGGTGCTTAGCAAAGCTGTGGCCATCTGGATCTCTCTTTATAGCAGTGCTCCCAGCCTCACTACAAATGCTTGGAAATTTGGGGCAACAAAGGTTTATGCAGAGCCTAACCCCAGGGGAGAGTGAAGGTGTGATTCACATCAAGCCCTCTGGTCAATGACAGGACCGTCATGGTGTTTCCTTGACTGGGAGGATGGCAGCTGTGCCTTGCAGGAGGGGACAAAGAGAGAGAGAGAAAGTGTGTGTGTGTGTGTGTGTGTGAGAGAGAAAAATGTGAAATCTCAGAGATGCAAAGGATCTCTCGCTTTCCCTGAAAAAACACTCATGTGGCCCAAGGATCTGCCAAGGCCAATTCCATGGAGAGCATCAGCACAGGGGCACTTGTACCAATTAAGTCACTGTTGCCCAGCCCTGAGTCTTGAAGAATGCTGTTGCCTGGCAACAAGGGATCAGCGAGGCCCTGGCCTATGTACTAAGCCAGGACGCTTTTAAAGACATCTTTTTCAGATCTACAAATCTGTTAGCTTAAAGGGCACCTACTTCAGGTGTGGATGTGGGGAGGCCTGCTGCTTGGCTGTTTCACCAAGGCCTTGTTGAGCAGGAGCCCGTCCTTGGGCAGGGGGTCTAGGCTGCTGTGGTGGAAAGATGCCTGGCCTGGAGGCCTGGACTGGGGAGGTTCCAGTGGAAGATCGTGTTAACTGTGGGGATCCAGGCGACCTCTGCTGCTGAGGTGAGCTAGACTGGGGACTCTGGGGCTGCTGGCCCTGAGGAGAGAGCCGTTGTTGTGGAGGTGCTCCAGTCCGCGGAGGCTGAGATCCCTGAGGCTGGCGTGGACCCCCTGCAGGGAACATGGACACAAAGGTGCACAAGACACATTAAACAAGGAGCAGCTGCATGGGGGAACGGGTTGTAGTGAAAGGAGAAACATTTCAGACTCGTTATGGACACTGGATGCCATTAACCTGTTGGTCTGTGGCAACATGCCCATATCTACAGAGTTGCTGCTGTACAGTTCTTTGCCTTCTTAACACCAAGGGAACCCTGCCATCCTTCTCCCAGGTAAAGCTGTCTCAGCGTGCCTTAGTTCTCCATGTGATTGTCACCATTTCTTGTCTTTGAGTCTTGTGTGGGAGCCTGAATTGTTGGGGTGGAAGGTTGGAATCAATGGGCGAACTAGCTCTCCCCACAGAAAATGGAAGTTTGGGTCAACAGCACCTTCCCTGGATAGTTACTATGAGGGGCTCGTATGCCACATCACCATCCATGCTTCTGTATTATAACATGATCAGTGGGTGGATGCTTCAGCATTTTTAGATGACCAAAGCCTGACTTTTCTGCCATCCTAAAGTCACATAAAACGATGCTCCTAGCAAGTGAAAATAGACATACACTGTTTCAGAGAGTAAAGCTAATAGTCTTTAAAGATCTCATGTACTCTTGTACATGAGTAAAAGTGTTACCCCAATGTCTTGACCAAATTCCAGCTTGGGCAATTACATTCTGCTGAGCTCAATTCTACCTGCATTTTCCACTGGAGATGCTATTCTTCTTGACTGCCTTTTCTGAACTGTTGTGTGATGTTACTGTGCACTGTTGAACAGTTGCTGTATTTTATTGCCACGCTGGCTGCCTGTCAATTTCAGTGACGGGTGAAGAGATTCCTGTGTACAGTCTGAATCGAATCCCAGAATGAACTGTCTAGGTTTCCTTTGCCAGAGGTCCTAGAGTACAGTACCTTGAGGAGGTGGCCGTGGTTGGGATGATTGCCCAAGCTGGGGTCCAGGCTGAGGCTGCGTCTGTGATTTCATTGACTGAGGCTGGACTTGTTGAGGCTGGAAAAAAATCATTACAGTCAGAACGTGTTCAAAAGGAGAAGCCTAGGGATGACAGAATTTTGAATATTGTGGTGTTTTCAACACACACTCTGCCACTGCAGCATAAGGCCTGTAAGGTTCCATGGTATTTGATGGAGAACTGAGTAGGAAAAAGCATGGAAACTCTTAGCTAGAAGAGAATGACTGCAGAGTTACATTTTTTAAAAGTGGGTTTACAAATTACCAGACTGGATCAAACCTGAGGCCCATTTAGCCCAGTTGCGAGCACCAGATGCTTCAAAGGCAGAAGTATGTAAGAACCCCGCACTAAACAGGTGTGGAGTTATCAGGTCTCATCCTGATTTCTAATACTTAGAAATTGGCTTAAGCCATGATGTTTAATATCCCTTCCACATGGATTGTCGATTAATTATAACTCTGGAAATTCCTGACATCCCTATAATGTCCAATCCGTTTTTCAATCTTATCAAGTTCTTGGTCTCAATGACTTTCTGTGGCAGTGAATACCACAGTCTAGTTATTTCCTTTGATTCATTTCCCACCTTTTAATTTCATTGAATGCCCCTTGTTCTCTGCTAAGAGACAGGGAGAATAGATGTTCCAAATCTATCTTCTCTAGACCATTATTTTATATATTTTTATTATGTTACCTCTTATTTGTCTCCTTTCTAAGGAGAACAAGCTCATCATTTCAGTCTCTCTTCCCAGGAGAGTGTTTCCAGGCCCTGGATCTTTCTCACCACTCTTTTCTGAGCCCCCTCTAGTTGTTCACTATCCATTTTCAGATGGGGTGATTAATACTGCAAACAATATCCAGATAAGGCTGTACCACTGATTTGTATAAAGGCATTAGAATAGTCTCCATGTTGTTCACCATCCCATTCCTTATGAATCCTAACAACTTGTTTGATTTTTTTGCCTGCAGCTGTGCACTGAGCAGAGGTTTTCACTGAGCTGTCTACCATGAGGCCAGTTGAGTTGATACAGTTAATTTAAAATAAGTAGTTTAAAATTTCCCCTCCAATGTGCATTAATTTGCATTTATCAACATCGAATTTCGTTTGCCATTGTGTTTCTCATTCACCGAGCTTGGTTAGGTCTTGCTGAAGTTCCTCCCAGTCCTCTCTAATTTTGCTATCTCTCTGCTCACTCTCCTTTTCTGATCATTCATAAACAGTTTAAACAACACGGGACTGTTGTGCAGAGGCCTGTACTCTAAGCTGTCCAAGGTAACAAGAGTCTAACACAGCCTGTTACATAAAATTGTTTATGAAAGTCAGCAAAGTTGGAGACAAATAGACTGGTCCAAACTGGATTGTTTAGGTTAAAAGAACTATGTTAAGGGGCCTTCAAGGCTCCTGGCAAAGTCATGGGTTGGCATGACAAGGAGCTAAACGAGTCTAGAAATGGGAAGAAATGTTTATAGTTGAAATCACTGACGTGTGTTTTAATTAGTTAATGTTACTGGGATGTGGTTGCCAACCCATCTTGGACAGTGTTCATTTTGGAGTCACTAAATGGACGGGGGCCAGATGGGTGGGCTGGAAGGATTGAGCTTTGTCACTGTGGCTGCCACTCCCAAAGTCTCCTGGGATCCACCACGTTACTGTTGGGCCTTTGTTGTCCTGTTCCTGAAAGGCAGCCTGACTACACCGGGCCAAAGAGAGGGAATCAGGTGACATTGCTACCAGCTTCAGCCAAATCCTGAACAACACCTGGGATATGAGACTTGGGTTCCTGCTGTCACCCCTCCCCTGTGTTTCATTTTCTTTCCCTACCTTATTTCTGCTCTTTCCTTTCTCTCTGCTTTCTGTCTAATAAGCATCTGGCTTAGCCATCCCAGACAAGTCCTCCGTTCGCAACACTGTTATGAGCCTGGGACCGGAGAGGCAGCCACAAGCAATACTTTAAAGAGCCGAAGACTGCTATAGTTTGCCAGATCTCAGCGTGGCTGATCAGACCATGTGCTGTGCCTGTGTTTTCCCAGCAGCAAGGGTGCAAGGGAAAGGCAGCACCAGACACAGAAGCTGCATTTTCTATCTTTACTGTTCTTTTCTCTCCTCTGTTGTGTGATTGTCTTGTTTTGTCTTAAACAAAGAAGGACTGGACTTTAGCAGAACAGCTCCAGACCATCTTAACTAACTTTTTCTCTTTCCCCAAAAAGACAGTTAATAACGCATCTTTAATTCCATCTAACGACTATCCGACAGGGGTTCCTCCCTATATAAAGAACCAACTGACAGCTTCAGGGGAAAAGGGGAAGGAGTATTATTAAAACGAAAGTCTTACTTAATACTTTACTGCCTTGACTCTTCTCCAATCCCTCCTCCCGGCGTTCCTGCTATAGGCTTAAAAACAGTACTCATATTCACAGATGTTTTTATTTAAACCCTGGTATGTCATGCCATGGTGCGGTTCAGTCATTCAAAACTGCCATTGGCAAATGTTGCTCTAAAATAAGGTGGATTCAGTACTCAGCCTGGGGTGAGTGCGCGGTGAGGCCTACTGCTCAGTTTAAAAGCAGAAATGATGGGTTCTGATGAACGGCAACATCAGCCAGGTCTTCTTTTCAGGGACTGGTGGCTGAGACACAGGGTCTCTCTGAAGAAGCAGGGATGCCATTAGAGAAGGGCCTAACAGTGGCAGAAAGCCTCACTGGCTCCCTTTGGGATGCACCAGATTTCACCAGAGAGGCAAAGGCTGGAATAAACTCAATCGGGGATGGAGAGTTGCAGCCAGACTATGAAGAGTTCTTAGAGTCTCCTCAACATGCACACAGAACTCATGTTAATAGTCACTCATGGGAGCAGAGACCCTAAGAGTAGCAGGGGCTCCATCGGCAGTGAACAAGCCGCAGTGTTTGGCTTTATAGGCTACCGAGTCACGTATTGCTGGGGTCCAGCTAAGAATCTGCCCCTTCTTTGTGGGCAGAGATGGGGGATAAGTTTTCTTTATAAACCCTGCAGAAGCTCTCAGACTTAACCCTGTCCCTCCCAGGGGGAATTATGATCCCTCCAGACTCTCCCTGGCATAGGTTGGTCTGACTGCTCTTTACTGAAGTTATTGGATGCCGTGTCTTTAAACTGATTCTAACCCCCTCTTCCCCAGTCCACAGTACATCAGCTCACTGCTGTCACCTACAAGGGTGCCTAGCTCAACATATTATTGCCTGCCATCATGCCACCCAATCTGAGTCGCCATAGCAACAGCTGCCCCATACTGCTTGGACATTTGTGAGCAGGAGATGCTCCTACGCTTGCCCTTTCTGCTGCCATTCCTTGCCCGCTCTGTGAGTCCACCTCTCGCCAAACTTCTACAGTGTTTGTCTCTGATGATGCTTCTCTTTAAAATTTGTAGTCTTGGTCACAGTCTGTACCCAGCCAAAAAAAGCCCAGGGTATATGTGTGTGGTGGATAAGCTGAATGAGAATGTGATGCCATGGTAATATGAAGAGAGACATTGCTCAGGGACAACCCATGAAGGGTTTATGGAAGAGCTACCCCTGCAACAGTAACAGCAGAATCATCCAATACTTTGTATGGGGTGACATCTCTGTCCAACAGCACCAGAACATTCAATCCACTGAGGTACATGATTGGCTGAACACTCACTGGGGTTTGAGAAAGCACCTGCTTTTCTGAATGGCTCCATCCACACTTACCCAAGACCTTGGAGGTGAGGGGGTAGATCCCACCGTCACAAGAAGCTGAGTCATTTTGGAGACAACCAGATCAGCTACGAGCTGTGTGTCCTCCTCTACGTGCTCCCCTATCAGGGGCATCGAGCTATCCATCACCTGCACAGAGAGAGAAAGGGCAGCTATTAAGGGGGCTTCCTAGTGAAGGGGCAGGTCTAGACACTCAATTGGATGCCAAGCTCCGTTGTGTTACTACCTCCCCAGGCACCTATTCCCATCATTTGCCCACATCCTGAAGTGGAGGGAGCTGCCTATCACAATGGCTGGTGCATATCTCAGTTTTTGAGAAACGATGCCTCCTGCCAGTTGGAGCCCAGGCCTAGGCTTGATACGGGTTTCTAGAGACTTTTTTTTAATCAAACTAGTTTCTTCCTACACCCAAAAAGGCTGATTGAATGTCTTTCATTAATGGGTATTTCTCTGGAGTTCAACTGTGGTGATATTTGTGGATGATGCTCCGAAGGGTTCCAGGTATAAAGGAGAAAGGAAACAAACCGCAAAGAGACCCGTGCAGATTAGTGCAAGGGGGACTAGAGGCAACCAGGGAAGAGCTGGTATTAATCAATGCAACGCTCTACAGGAAATAAGGAAATAAACAACACAGGCACAAAATAGACAGGATGTCTCGAAACAGCAGCACCCATGCCATGAAAGTAAACTTCCTCTCAGCTGGTCTCCTTTATGCAGTGCTGACATTACTTTGCCATGTAAACACACACTACAATTACCACAGGGAAGGTGAGGAAGGAAAGGTTTGAAGGGGTCCACAGTCTTAAAAAGGGCGAGACCCACACTGTATGCCATCCCTGAAACACCACCATAATCATCAAAGTTGTTTGTCGTATGCCAACAGCTTTACAAACATTAACCAAGCCCCATACAAAGCACCTCATTATGGTGAAGCTAAGGTTCAGTTGGGGGTGCTTATTAACCTACCAGAATGTTAGTGCCTTTTAAGACAACGAAACTTTAGAAATCCAGGAAATGCAGCATTAAAGTTTGCATTTGTTAGATAAGGCACTGACACACTCAGATAACAACTGCAACCTCAAGTCTGCCCCACTAGAGTTCCAAGCATACAGTCTGGACTGGGACTCTCTTCTCAGCTCTGCCACTGGCTGGCTGGGTGATCTTGGGTAAGTCACTTCCTCCTCTGTGTCTCAGGTTCCCTAGCTGTAAAATGGGGCTAATGACACTGACCTCCTTTGTAACATGCTTTGAGATCTACTGATGAAAAACACTCTAAGACCTAGATATTAATATTATTATTATTATTAAGCAGAATGTTCTGCACACATTTCTATAGGTAGGTTTAAGGAAGTCTGTTTGTGTCGTCAGTTCATCAACAGATAGTTCCAACCTGACCATCTGACATAGAGGTGACTTATTAATGGAGTAACTGTTCAACTCTCCTTAATTTGGTCTCCACTTTAGTTTCGTTACATATGAACTTATATAAAATCCCAAAGCTATGCCTGTGGACAGCTTTAATTTTGAAAATCTGATGAGAAGAGGACTGGTACCAAAATCCATTGCTTTCTTGATTTATGGTCTAGGGCAAACTATGGCCCGCAGGCCATATCCGGCCCGCGGGACCCTCCTGCCCAGCCCCTGAGCTCCTGGCTCGGGAGGCTCACCCCCAGCCCCTCTCCTGCTGTTCTTCCTCCCCCGCAGCCTCAGGGCACAACGCTCTGGGCAGCGGGGCTGCGAGCTCCTGGGGCAGCACAGCTGCCGAGCCTGCCCTGACCCGGTGCTCTGTGCTGCGCGGTGGCGTGGCGGGCTCCAGCTAGGCGGTGCGGCTGCCTGTCCTGGTGCTCTGGGCGGGGTGGCTGTAGCACCACCAGCCACCGGTGCTCCAGGCAATGCGGTAAGGGGGCCGGGGTGTTGGATAGAGGGCAGGGGAGTTGGGGGGAGTGGTCAGGGGGCGGGGGTGTGGATAGGGGTTGGGGCGGTCAGAGGGAGGGGAACAGGAGGGTTGAATGGGGGCAGGAGTCCCGGGGGGCAGTCAGGGGGCTAGAAGCGGGGGGGGGGGTCAGATGAGGGGTGGGCTGGGCCACGCCTGGCTATTTGGGGAAGCACAGCCTCCCCTAACCGGCCCTCCATACAATTTCTGAAACCCGATGTGGCCCTCAGGCCAAAAAGTTTGCCCGTTCCAGTCTAGGGTATGCACGGAGCAGGTTAAATGGAAGGGGGTCAGATAAATACATTAAATGGTGTTCAACTCTGCTGTCATCTCCTCTGCTTCTTTGTAGAACAGGCTTCTTGGGGTCCAGAGATAGCTAGGTTTGGCTGCCACAAAGGTGTGGCTGGGAGAACTATAAACCATTGGACTTGAAATCTAACCGGACTTCTATTAGGGGGTCTCGCTAGCACGTAGCTCCGCGAGGCATCCCCATTTCATCTGGCAATTCTGACACCAGCTCGTACGTAGAAAAGCCATGTCAACTTCATTGACCTTGTTAATTTACTGTGAAAGGGATGGTTTTTGACCACTAGATGGTGCCATTGTTCCCTTTAACAAGCCATTATCCAGTGAAGTAATCTGCTCACTCACTAACTCTTGGTGTAAATAACTGTGTAGTGATAGGTCTGTATTAAAAAAAACCTCTTATCTCTTCAGCTTGGAAATTATTTCCCGTCATTACTGCAGCAGCATGTGATATGCTGGCTGAAGCGAAAGGACAGGGTACAATTTAGAAACGGAGACATCTAGGGCTAAATTAATCCTGTTTCAGGCCCATCAAAGTCAATGAGCAACATCAGGCATTAGGTTGTCTCTGTGTCTTATTTTGTGGTTTCTGACCCAGCTCACTTCTGTGGTATTGGTTGAAGGAGCCCAAACCCGGGGCTATCACTGACTAAGGCATGGAGAAAACGAAGCTGGTAAGAAAGGACACAGGTTTTCTGGGCCAAATGATGCTCTCATTTGTGTCAGTGCAGCTACTCCAGAGTTATACAGGTGCCAAGATCAGAGTCTGGCCCCATAATGCTGAGATAAACCACCCAGATGGACTATATGAAATACAAACATATTCCTCTTATCTCTTCCTGAGAATGAGACCAAAGAACAGCTGAGGGAGAGGGGAAGATGTCAGCACACACAAACCCTGCCTTTGTAGTTGCCCAAGGTCATTGGCTGTCTCTTGACACAGCTGCTGTTGCTCGATAAGATATCTCAGAGGGAACGGAAGGCGGCAAGGCAGAGAAGAGATCCAGGAAAACCCCTTCCCCGCCTTCTATCTGACGCCAAGAGCTGGAGGCTGGGTTTGTTATTCCATGTTCTCGTGTGCGAGTGTCGAGGCGTTGGATGATTGGAGGGAAGGAAGGAAACAGATGATCCGACAGATCAAAGGGGTTGATACGACAATGGTGAAAGGCTGGACAGGCCATCACGCAGAGCAGTAGAGTCCTCGTAGTGCATGTGGCTAGATCCACAGAGCTCTACAATAGCAATAGATGTGGCACGGCTGGCCTCAAGAGCCATGAGAAAAGAATAAAAAACATGAAGTCAATCCAATTTTGATTGGTCTTTAGTTTTGTGGATCATTTTACTCACCCTCGCCATCTGTAAAATGACTCATCATTGTGGCCTTATTTTAGATCACAAAAACGGGCCAGATTTTCAAGTGCATGACCCCCAGCATGCACCCAGTGCACGGAGCAACTTTGAAAATGTGGCCACTCATCTGTGTGCCTAAAGAGGAATGAAACTCTTCTGAAAACTTAGTCTCAGTTGGGGGTGCTGAGCCATTCTGAAAATGCCAGACTGGGTGACAAAGCCCTTTAGTGCAGAGAAAGAAATACCAGTATGCTGAATCAAAGTCAGCGCTGCTCTACGTGAGTGAAGAGCGCTGAAATCAAGGGAAGTGACTCTACCTCTGAACGTAGCCCTTAAAGTACTGCGAAACTACCCCAATGCCATGTGGCAAATAAAGATGGAGAGCTCAACTAATAATACAGTAAAAGTATGGAAATCAGGTTGACGATAAATTTATATGAATTACGTCAGATTTGCGGGTGGCATAATCCTCCTTTCTTGCGCTCAACCTCCTCGCTCCTAATCTGAGCCCCTGTTTGCCATAAGCAATGCTCATAAATCTCACAAGACATAGATCTGGCTGGCTTTAATTTTGTGAGTGTTTCTCGGAACAGTTTTCACATTGTGAACATTCATTCCTTGGTTCCATGCCATTGTGCAAACTTTACCATTTATTTATTCATTCAGCAAATTTTGGAGTCATTTCTTGCAAAATTTCACAGCAAATTTTCCTTCACACAAAGTGAAATGCAGCTGTTTGGCTCCCCCCCGCAACAAAACAACCAATCCACCAGCTTCTGGCCAAAAAAAGAAGCCCACTCAAGGAACTGGACTGGGGAAAGTAATTACAGTACTTCTCAGTTTCTCTCTCAGAACTGGCATAAAGTAGAAAATGTGCCGGCTTTGCTTTATTCTATTCTATTCTATTCTATTCTATTCCAGTCATGTTGCCATACAGTGCCCATCAGACTGGTATCTGAACTCCTGCTGAACCCCTGGTATAGCAGATGCTCTGGGCCAGATTCTCAGCTGCTGTAATTTGGCTTAGTTCAGTTGAAATCAGCGTGGCTCCCCTGATTTGTATCAGCTGACCTCACCCTGTGTGTTTTGTTCAGCGTAGAATCACAGGGTGATTTGTGTTCAGGTGTGCGTTTCTGTCTGTGTGTGCAATGTGGTAATGGGTGTAAGTCTATGGGCGTGCCCTCGACTCAGTGACACAAACATGGAAGCAGGTATGCAACCCCACCCCCATCCCAAAGTCATACACAGAAGCAGGTGTGCAGTCCTCCTCCACACACATACTCACTGAGGCAGACATGTAGACACATACCCGCACAAAGGCAGATGGGTCAAACTCCCCACCCCACATACAAAACCACACAGGAAGATGTGTGTGTACATGCAGGCACCCATGCATTCAGAGAGGCAGGTGTGTGTACCTTCTTACCTTCCCCCAGGCACGGGCAGGCGTGTACACACACACACAGGCTGAAGTATGTTGAGTTTAAAAGACTCTATTCTGGGGTAGGGTTTGAAGAGGAGCAGCTCCACTTAAAGCTCCTGACAGCTTACACAGAGGAGTCAGAATGACAGCAGCACCCCTCTTGCCATTTGGAAGAAGCAGGCTAATGTTTTCATTGCTGGCAGAGCACTTGTATAACACGACCTCTGACAGGTCCCTGGTCCCTGAGGAGGAGATGCACAAGACTGGAATGTGCAGTCACTGTAAGGCTCATGTGGTTCTCATCAGCTTCCTAAGCCTCAGTGGGTGGGAGTGCTCTCCCACACATAGCTTTCTAATGTGTCAGCACCCTTGAACGAAACTGCAGGCCAGCTTTGCTCATCTTCCTCTGCCTGGGCTGTGTTGGTGGAGTTCACAGCAGGTCAGATGCTGAGCCTCACTTCCAATAACATCATATGGAGCAGAGGACACTAGATCAGTTGCCAGATTTGGTCACGCCCGGAGTGGCTCTTGAGTTTCCAATTTGATTTTCCTGCCAGCTTTTCATGACCCGTCCTGTTCCAATGACCCAGATCATGTTACCCGTCCCAGTCCCCTGTTCAACTCCCTGGTATGAGAGGTATCACTTTGAACGCTTGCCTTCTCAACCACAGCCAGTGTGACTGGAACCCACAAACTCTCTTGCGGGCTTGTCTTGCTTATCTGCTAGCTCAATAAACGCAGGCCTGGGCAAACGATTTTAAGGAGCACATGCAGGGTCTGATTAAGACAATGAGGCTCATTCACGCTACTTATAGTCCTCTTCCCTACAGCTCTAGGTCCATCCGATTCATCATCGGCTCCTATGTGACATGCACCCTGCTTGTGACTGACTCCTGAGCCTGACTCCTAATCTTAACGTTGACCCAGGAGCCCATTCACAGGTATCTGGCAATTTGGTTGCGACTCACAGAGAGTCGTTGCTTGGGCACATTAGTTGAAATGATGCTGGTCCCTGTGAGGAGAAAATGACTGGGTCAAGGGGCAGAGCATGTACTTAGAGTATGTCTGACTGTCTGAGCATGTCAGCACGCGTGGGACATGTGTTTGTGTTTGTGGACGTACTCGGATGCAGGAGGTGTGACCTCCAGGCACTCAAGCTCTCACCTCAATGATATAGTCCTTCCCATCTTTGCTGTGGACAGCTTTGACGGCACAAATATCGAGGCCTCCAAACATCTCGGCGCAGGAGTCCGCCCAGAGTCTGTACCTGCAGAATCCACACAGACATGTTGCTGGGAATTATCTGGCTGCTCAAGGATTAAAATAATGCTAGTAGGGTGCCAACTTTCTTAGCCTCCCACCAAATATAGACACCCCACCCTCTGCCTTATTCAACCGCAATAAGACAGATATCATAACCTTTAATATTGCCTCACGATCACCAGTACGGATGGAGGATCACGTTCTCACCAAAGTAGAAACATTCACATACTTGGGCAGCACCATCAGCCAGGACGGTGGGAACAAGTCAGGACATCCGGAACAAAATCAATAAAGCCAGGAACATCTTCAGGAGCTTAAATGCAGTCTGGAAAATCATCAAAATACCACACCAAAACCAAACTCAAGATTTATCAGAGCTGTGTACTTTCAACACTACTTTATAGTGCAGAATGCGGGGGAATGACAACGTACGACATGTCCAAACTGTCTTCATTCCATACAACCTGCCTCAGAAAAATCCTCCATATCTTTTGGCCCAGAACAATCTCAAACCAAGATCTATTGACACAGTGCAGCCAAGAGGATATGAGCACCATCATTGCCAGGAGGTGTTGGAGATGGATCGGCCGTGTGCTTTGGATGGAAACTGATTCCATCACCAGAGTAGCAAGAAGATGGACATCTGAAGGCAAGCGAAAACGAGGGCTGTGGAAGCCGAGCTGAAAAACCTGGGGCGCAGCTGGGGAACCATTGAAAGACTCACCAGAAACAGACAGGAGTGGAGGAGCTTCGTCACTGCCCTAAACGCCAGAGGCGTAATAGGAAGATGATGATGATGATGATGATGACCCTCTGCCTCTGGAAGTGCACAGAATGCTCTTCACAGCAACTCAGAGTTATCATGATGAGACATCCCCTCCCTCTATTCTACAGGTGATGGAAGAAATAGGAGATCTTGCATGATGAACGCCCACATTTTCTTTCATTGCATATCAACTCCCTACTCCTACGTATATCCCCTTGAACCACATGAAATCATTTCTATCTCTCACTGGTATTTACACACCTCAAATCTCCCCACTTACGTGTCACTTAGTCAAGCTGTAAATGTTTAGTTCATTTTATCTTTCCTCAGAAGAAAGTCCCTGAAATTTTTATTGCTCTTCCCTGAATTCCCCCATGTGGAAAACTTTCTGACGCTGAGATGCCAGCATGTTCTAGGTGTGGAGAGCCAGAGTGGAGCTCTGTAGTGAGTGGCTATTACCTCTCTGTTCTGTGACATGATGTCTCTGAATATACGGCCCCAAACTGCATAGGCTTTTTCATTTGTTTCCTCTACATCACCATCCTGCAAGCTGTTCCCAATCACCCGTATATCCATTTAATATTACTGCTTTCCCTCCTGTTGAATATATGCTGCTGTGTCAGAGTGAGAGCAGGAAGTGTTATATAATGGAAGCCCCTGCTTCCAGCTGTCCTTCCACAGGAACATGAGCTGGCAGAAACAGGAGGCGATGTACGATGGGGTGCCCCCTCAGCTGTCTCTGCACTGGAAGAGGAGAGGGAATGACAAGAGATGCATTATGATGGCGACCATGCTCCCTCAGCTGTCTCTACGTTGGAACAGGGAGAGGGAATGAGTTTTGCTGGTTTTCCTTCTGTGCAGCTGTGCTGTGGTCCTGACCATTTCAATACAAAAAAATCTCAAAGCAGAAGATCTGCGAGCAGGACTCTCACACTGGCTGGAAATTGAAACAGGAGAAAACCGAGGATCTCAAAGCTACCTATGCAGATCTAATGGAGAAGGAGAAAAGAGCCTATGATCTTGAAGGCAGCCAGAGCACCTATAGCTTGATCTTCATGATCTAATGATGAACCTGCAAGAATACAAGGCCATATATGGATGGGACAAGAAAATGGTGTATACAACTAATAAATCCTTCTTTGTCACTCCCTGCCTCAATGAGGAGACCAAGTGCAGCCACACACCCTCAGAGGAGGTAATCATAGAATCATAGGACTGGAAGGGACCTCGAGAGGTCATCTAGTCCAGTCCCCTGCCCTCATGGCAGGACTAAGTATTATCTAGAGCAGGGGTGGTTAACCTATGGCTCCGAAGCCACATGCGGCTCTTCAGAAGTTAATATGCGGCTCCTTGTATAGGCACCAACTCCGGGGCTGGAGCTACAGACGCCAACTTTCCAGTGTGCTGCGGGGGGTGCTCACTGCTCAACCCCTGGCTCTGCCACAGGCCCTGCCTCCACTCCACCCCTTCTCACCCCTCCCCTCAACCTGCTGTGCCCTCACTCTTCCCACTCCCCCCAGAGCCTCCTGCACACCACGAAACAGCTGATCGGGAGGTGCTGGGAGCGGGGGTGTGTGTGTGTGGAGAGGCTGACATATTACTGTGGTTCTTTGGCAATGTACATTGGCTCCTTCTGGCTCCTTCTCAGGCTCAGGTTGGCCACCCCGATCTAGACCATCCCTGACAACAGGTGTTTGTCTAACCTGCTCTTAAAAATCTCCAATGATGGAGATTCCACAACCTCCCTAGGCAATTTATTCCAGTGCTTAACCACCCTGACAGTTAGGAATTTTTTCCTGATGTCCAACCTAAACCTCCCTTGCTGCATTTTAAGCCCATTGCTTCTTTACCTATCCTCAGAGGTTAAGAAGAAGAACCTTTTACGTACTTGAAAATTGTTATCATGTCCCCCCTCAGTCTTCTCTTTTCCAGAGTAAACAAACCCAATTTTTTCAGTCTTCCCTCCTAGGTCAAGTTTTCTAGACCTTTAATCATTTTTTGTTGCTCTTCTCTGGAATAGGAGGCTATTTCACCCCTCATCATCTGTAAAGTTGTGAAACTTGTAAAGTCACAATAAATGCACTCCAGTAAGCAGGCCCTTTCCCACCCTGGGTTTGTGTGTAGGAGGAGGGCAGCAAGAATGCACTGTTTACACTCAGGATTAACCCTGTGAATTAAGCAGGATGCCCATGCTAATACACTAAGCGCTGCAAGGCCCACTCACGTGCAGCTGCGACTGGATGCTGGTCATGTACCACAGGGCAGTTTCTTGGGAGCCATGTATATTCTGGAGGGAGGCTTGAGGGTGTCTGGGTTCAAAATCCAAGCTCAGACACAAATGAAATGGGGCTGGCAGTCTCACCAGGTTTCCTAATGGATATTCTTCCACATCAAGCACCCTTTCTCCTGTGAGGCAGAATTTTCAGATGCCCAGAGGTGGAATAGCAGAGGCTGCTCCTGGTGAGCACCCAGATGCACCGGAACAGCCAGGACAGAAATAGCAGAGGTGCTGCAGGTTAGAATTAAGCACAGTGGCAGACGTGTATATCCTTATGCATGTGTTTGTAGGGGAGTTAAATTTGCAGCCGATTTGTCACCAGGATACCTGGATTTAGCCAGCACTTTCAACCCCTCACTTTTGCCCCTATTCAACAAAGTATTTAGGCATGTGTTTACATTCATCCCTATTCAGCAAAGCATAGCACACTTAACTTTAAGCATGTGCTTAAGTAGTGATGTAGCTTCAGTATCAGCTTTGCTCTTTTTTTTTTTTTTTTTTTGAAAGCCCCTTCTCTTCCTTACCTCTCTGTCATTGCGATCTGCTCCAGCATGGCAGAACCTGTGTTTGCCTTCCAGTTTCCAGAGATAGATGTCCTCCTGGGAAAACAAACCAATCACAGGATGACAAACCAACTCCTCCAAAGAGGTAGTTTTCACACCTGACTCAGTGTGTGTGGAGAATATGGGTGATTCAGCTGGGTGTCCTTTCCAATCCTACAGTCCACAGTGCTCCCAACAAATTCTGATCATCCAGTAAATGAAAGACTCAAACTAGGAGCAAGGAACTAAGAACCTTGAGGCATCTTTTCTCTGCAGCTGGGTGGGTGATGTGTAGTGGCCTTGTGAACACTTTTCTCCTTTTACACATCAGATCCTGGAAAGCCGAGATGACTGTAAAACGCCTCTGAGATCATTAACCTTACGCTCGGCATTGTAGAATCTAAGCATATGTAATTCTCCAGGCAAAGATGTGACTGAAAAGATACATAAAAGTCAGATATGAACTACTCTCTGAGGTTGGCTTCTATTGTAGTGGTGGCCTGGAAAGTCTGTCTGTTTGTGCCCTCTTTCTTAATCTCAATGACCCGCCTGCTCTGGGACCCAACCGCCAACTTCTCCCAAAGGTTTTTTAGGTTGTAAAATGCTCCAAATCTCCTTCATTGTAACTGGCTGTGAATTTCAACAGAAGATGCTGCTGCTGGCAAATTCTGAGCTCTGTATTTGTCTGTCAAGTGCTGGGCTAGTTCATTTCTTTGCACTTAGCAAGAAGGCAGACTTGACACAGCCTGCAATGATAGCACCTTGTGTTGTAATTCTGCCAGATCTCACAAGATTCCTGAGTATGGTTTCGACTACGAGGAAAGTGCTGTATTAGTTGTAAGATATTATCCCATCAGTGTGTTTGATACACCCATGAAACACTCCTATGCTGAAGAAAGCATGCATGGTGATTCAGTGGGTGGGACTCTTTTTTCTGAACCAGTCCTGATCCAGTGTAGCAGCATGGTGTTGGGAGATGCTGATTGCTGCTGACATAATCTTTTCAGTGAAATGCAGAAAAGTCCTGATCATTTTTGGTCATTAAAGATCACAAGGCACTTTTCACAAGAGCAGAGGTGTTAAACCTGGTGTCCTGGCTAAATTCAAAGCTGGGTCATTATATTTTTCCCACCTAAAATTTCCTGAGAAATGTTTCAAATAGACATGGCCTCCTTCTTCACTTTCTGCTCTAACCTAATATGTACTGCTGCCGCAAACTGTTAAATGGCTCCTGGGATCCATCTCAGAAGGGGGTGAAGTGATTCCTGAGTATGGTTTAGACTAGTATCTGGGGAGGAAAGTGCTGTATTAGTTGTAAGATATTATCACAGGCTGTACTACTGGTTATCACACACACAAACTCTCCTGTCCTATGATCAAAATCATTCACCTGCCTGACCTTTTCTTTACAGAACAGAATCCTCCCTCTTTGAGGTTTCTGAGCCTTTTCCATTACCTAAGGACAGTATTCAACTCTCAGCCTCTCTTTCCTTCTGTCTCGCTAAGTTACGCTCCTTTCTGGGATTGTGTTTCCCAGCTTTCCAGTAGGAACGGCTCTTTATTTGTAATATGTGGGTTCAGAAAATTGCCCTGCGTGATTGATGACATCCAAAATCTCATCAGTGATGAGAACTCCCAGATTCAGATTAGTAACATGATGGAATATCAGCATTGAAAAGAAATATTTGGAATATGTAAACAGATACCCCATCAAAAAATAGGTTTCAGAGTAACAGCCGTGTTAGTCTGTATTCACAAAAAGAAAAGGAGTACTTGTGGCACCTTAGAGACTAACCAATTTATTTGAGCATAAGCTTTCGTGAGCTAAAGTAATCTGTAGCTCACGAAAGCTTATGCTCAAATAAATTGGTTAGTCTCTAAGGTGTCACAAGTACTCCTTTTCTTCCCATCAAAAAAGCAGCTATACTATGGTATAATACCAGGAAATTCCATGTGGGGGAGCTCCAGAGAGTGCAGCTTTGCTGCAGTGGTTGGTTTATCTGGTTTGTTTGTTTGAGCCAATCTGATGTTCTAGTCCAGATGCTTCATGTAGAACATAGCAAAAGTTTCAGTCAAATATAAAATACAACCGAACCATCTTAAAAAGAGACTTTCTCAAAAGCCGTCCTGACCATTAACATAAGCTCCATCACAACCTTCATGAAATCCACTCCCTTCCCAGCATGGGAGAGCAGGTGAGTCTTGCAGCACGGCACCAAATTAAGGCTTTGGCAAACCAAGGTGGAAAGTGAATTTGAGGGCCAAGGGCTCCTCATCGAGAAGGCCCTGCCACCAGACCTCTACTGTTTATACCAGAAGTTCTTAGCTTGAATGCCTCCAATGACCCTAATTGCCATGGCGGTCAAACAAATAGAGGTGGCCTCTTGAATAAAAGGGACCCAGACCATGTAGGGCTTTATAGGTCAAGCCCAACACCTTAAATTTCACCTGCAAATGAACTACTAGACAGTGCAAATCATGAAGCACTGATGTAATATGCTCACTGTGTGAACCACCTCTTCATAACTGGGCCATTCCATTCTACTGTAGCTCAGTTTCTGGAGGATTACAAGCGGTGGTCCCACACAGAGTGCACTGCATCCATTCAACTGCAAGGGGACAAAAGCACGAACATCAGGAGTGAGGTCTAAAAGAAAAGGTACAACCCTCTTGTTAAGTGCAGAGGGCAAGGGGTATTCCTGGCAACTGTTGCTACCAACCTGGGGTACTCAGAAGCAGCTGGCAGTCCAACACAACCCTCAGGTTGCAAGCCTTAAAAAACATAGCAAACATTCCAGTCCATTGGTTGGGATGCTGATATAATTTTTGTCATTTCTTTCAGTTGGTTTCCCTGATGCACAATTATTACTTGAGTCTTATCTGGTTCTCACAGACATGAAGGTCGCTATCTTAAAACAAAAAAACTTCAAATCCAGACTCCAGCGAGAAACTGCTGAATTGGAATTCATTTGCAAATTGGATACTATTAATTTAGGCTTAAATAGAGACTGGGAGTGGCTAAGTCATTATGCAAAGTAGCCTGTTTCCTCTTGTTTTTTCCTACCCCCCCCCCCCCCCAGATGTTCTGGTTTAACTTGGATTTAAACTTGGAGAGTGGTCAGTTTAGATGAGCTATTACCAGCAGGAGAGTGAGTTTGTGTGTGTATGGGGGTGGGGGGGATGTGAGAAAACCTGGATTTGTGCAGGAAATAGCCCGACTTGATTATGTAAAGAGTTGTCACTTTGGATGGGCTAGCACCAGCAGGAGAGTGAATTTGTGTGGGGGGGTGGAGGGTGAGAAAACCTGGATTTTTGCTGGAAATGGCCCACCTGATGATCACTTTAGATAAGCTATTACCAGCAGGACAGTGGGGTGGGAGGAAGTATTGTTTCATATTCTCTGTGTATATATAAAGTTTGCTGCAGTTTCCACGGTATGCATCCGATGAAGTGAGCTGTAGCTCACGAAAGCTCATGCTCAAATAAATTGGTTAGTCTCTAAGGTGCCACAAGTACTCCTTTTCTTTTTGCGAATACAGACTAACACGGCTGTTACTCTGAAACCAGCATTATGAGGTCACCCAAATCCATTCAGTGGAATTATAGGCATGTGCCACATGGCTATTTATTTGTTGTTTTCAGCGTGGCTTTAGTTATAGGCTAAGCAGGTGTTCACCATCAGTGTAAATCTGCAGTAACTCCACCAAAGTCAATGGGAATCTGAACTCAGTCTCTCAGTCACGGGTTGGAAGAAAGTATACTTGTATCTGGGGTGGGGAGGGATGAGATAGTCACTCTGTAGTATCCTCCCTCTGTCAGACCGTGGATGCAGAGTCGAGAAATTCCAGAGAGAACTGTGTACACAGTCCTTAGTCAGGAGGAAGTGAGCTTTTGCGTTTTTGCATGTGTGGGAGGCAGTTATGAAAACATGAGGACTGATTCCATTGCACTCAGACCAAGAGAGTCCTCTCTCTGACTGATGTTACAGCAGACACTGATATTCTCAGTCTTAAAGGCCAAGATGTTCCAGAGAGCCCAGTAATTTTGGATGCCTTCATTTTTGAGTGCTCAACTTGAAACACTTTCAAGGGCCTGATTGTCAGTGGCTGGATGGCCTCACCTCTCTCATATGACATTCAATGGACTTGTTTATCCCATAGAAAGTTTATTTTCAGTCTGGCACTGGGATAAACTCCATTACCAGATACCTTTCATAGGAAACAGTCAGTAACAGAGAATGGCTGTACAGATATCCCAAACTCGTTTCCAGTAATGGCTCCATGAATAGGACAAAGGAACTTTTGTAGCAAACAATTCATTCAATGAATTTGGCCTTTTTCTCTCTTCATGAACTGGCTTTGATTTTCAATGATTTCTTCCCTATTTGTAACTGTTCGACAAATGTTTCATGGGAAACCATTTTATTTAGCAAACAATTGCTTGCAAATTTGCTCCTGTGTGGGATGGGCTATTAGTGTGACTGTTCACATTTGTCACAGGGTATTGTTTTTGCTCTCTGATTAGATAAGGTAGGTCAGTGAGGTAGGGAATTTTAAAGGACATTTAAACTTCTTTTCTGAGTCATTTGAGTCAGGCTTTTCCTGGACATCACTGCTAGAAAAATTAGGTGATTGTAATATTATAGATTGGGTCAGATTTAAAACTAATTTTCTCTCATTGCCTTCCCACTAAGTAATTGGGTGTCTCATGAAGTTCCAGACATGAAAAGAGTGGCCAGATCTCTCTGATTTACTTAATTGCCTCTGTGCTAGGATGCTGGTTAGGGATTTTGGGCAGTTCTAGTTGCAAAGTAAGTGGGCACATACATTTGTCTGTCTCATGTAACCGTGCTAGCACCAGGGCTCCAGCCTGGGGTTTTGGGAACACAGATCCTAGACTAACAATAATCCTGGTGCTAAGTAGTGTATGACAATGTTTATTCTATCTGGTGCCCTTAAGCGCATGCTGCCAGACCCATCTACTTATCTAGAATTCTGCTGCTTGATAAGGGCAGGTACTTCTGGATTAGTTAGATTATTTGCTGTTTCTTGTTCAGTTGGTTTGGGGTGAGGAGAAATGAACTGTTTTATTTATTTATATGACTTTATTTTTACTTGATGTCAAACACTACTAGAGCTTGGGATAGGTGCTTTTAAATTTTTGCCAGGAGCATATAGTGAATTCACTAGTCGCCACTTTTCTGACCCTTATCACTATTCCTACAGTCATTGTGACAAACAAATTAGCAATTGTGAGGTAGGTACATGGTCTTAGCTGGGAAGGAGGCCAAAAATTGAATGGAACTTGGAGTTGCCGCTGGGGAGACTATACTCCCATGTAATGCTATGTGTTGATCTAAGCAGCCCCAGCAGTCCTCACGGACCCTTTATGCTATATGCCCATATTAACCCCTGTAACTCGAGACGTCAGCTCCCACCTCTGATTGCTCCAGGATGCCAGCCTTCTTTGCCCACTTGCTAACTGTTCAAACAAGCACGTTTGTGCTTTTTCCCATGCTGCCCCACACACATGGGAGGAGCTCCTCGTAAACACCTGCAAAACTAATACCTTATCCACCTCCAAATCCTTCCTCCAAACTCTCCTTTGCCAGGATGCCTACAAAAAACTTGACCCTGGCTAGGCAGCTGGTGCGCTGAGATCACTGCCTATCATGCTGACCAGTGTTGCTCATTTCGTCCGTGTACTCCTCCATCAGTCTGTCTGTCCCCACTTGCTGTTTCTTGTCTTATACTTAGATTGTAAATTCTCAGGGGCAGAGATTCTCTTTTTGTTCTGTGTTTATACAGTGCCTAGTACAACAGGGTCCTGGTCCATGACTACGGCTCCTAGGCATTACCGCAATAGAAATATTCATAACTAATAAGAAATGACAAAATACTAATAATCTAGCACCACGCCATTTCAGTGGCAGTTTCTTACTGTGATGGTGTTACCTCACTGCAGCAGCATGAGTAATTTCCTGGGTCAGGGGGCTAAAGGATAGTAGCGGTGGGTCAGTTGCACTGTAAAACTCCATGGATTGGCTCTGACTCATGCCAAAGTGGGACATGCAACGTGGTAACATAGGCCACCTCTTTGTTTTTAATATTTCACTTGAAGCTGTAAGATTGTGGTGACTGTTCCCACTAGAGGGTGCTGAGAGATGGAGGATTTGTCTATATGGTCAGGAGAGATGGGACCTTTTAGAAAGCAAGTTACCGCAATGATAGGGGAGTAAAGCTTATCTCCTGGTACCTGTCCAAGGCTGAGCTCGAAGACAGGTACAGATAGATTTACAGCCTGGGAATAAGGCGCTGATGGTGAGTTATGGAGCAGCTATCTGTGGGCAGAGGAGAAGAGGTGAAAGCACACCAGGGCTATTCTTCAAGGAACTTAAATCAGCCACCTCTTCCTGACCAAAGCAGACACCAATTAAACCACATTCATAAAAATGTCTCTTTCCAATTTCAGCCTCCCCCCCTGCTGCCCCGTCCCCAGCCCAACCATGAGAGCACACACTCACATGTAAGCTTTGTAATTGCTGCCGATTTTCTGGATTCGGATGTCGTACTTGGAGTCGATGAATGCTTCAGTGGTGGCGTAGGTTTTTGCCATGGCTACCACGCTGGCCATGTCCTGGAAGTCGTACTGGTTCTCAACTTTTACCTGCAATTGCCGAAATCCAGCCAAAGAGCGGCGAGCACAAAAGGAACAGGAATATCTGTGAGGAGGGGTCAGCTCAGTGGATGAATAGTAGAGCACAATGACAGTTAAACAATAAAGAGAGTAAGGTTGAAGCATGGACGACAGTAGGTAGAAGGATGCTTCATCCAGGCAAACCTTACACATACCTAGCCAACTGGCATGTCTCCCTCCTTGATGTACAAGCCCTGGGGGATCAGTAAGAAGAACATCTACTTATGATTAAAGAGTTCCATGGGGCTTTCCCCATAAGACTTAATGGGAGTTACATAGCTGAAATGCTCCAGAAAAGCATTCGTTATATTTTTGTAGCATAACTTAATTCCGAGCATGTAAATTACTCTTACCCTATTACTTACCACTAAACATCTGATGAGAACAGAAAATCAGGAGTGACCAGGAAATAGGCATTTATACCAGAAAATAAAGAAGCGAGAGGGGTTTTGGGGTTGGGGTTTTTCTTTTGCCACTCCTGGTCTCTAGATCCCTAGCAGTTCACAGTGCCCTTATCTAGTTTCATGCAAAGGCCTGGCACAGGACTCCAGGCTGGAAGTGTACAAAACACGAGCCTCATGAGGATGATGTTCCTAGGGGAGACCACGTACTGCAGGCAGTGCAAGCTGGAGGTCATGGGAGTGCGTGTGGGGGAGGCTGGCTAGAGGTGTAGAAGGAACGGGATGGCGTGATGCTCAGGGGGTTGAGATCTATACCCGAAGGGCTGCAAATTTCCTGGGAAACTAGCTTTTCACAGTGTTATATTTATTTACTGGAAATACCTTGGAACTTTCAAAAAAGAAATGCTGGAAAAAGGAATCACTAAGTATAGAGGATGATCAGTTCTCTGCCAAGAGCTACTAAAAAGGGTAAAGAAAAAAAATTGTTACATCTCCTCTCCCAATACTGCAAAAAACAAACCAACCAACACACCCCAGACAATGTTACTATCTTCATGTCACCAAGCACAGCCTTTAGAAATTTGCACTGGCAAAAATCTACTCTAGTACATCAGCGAAGCCCGGTCAACTACAATGCCTCCAGATGATAGTGTGGAGACGGATGTGTTAATTTAAGCAGGTCTATAATATAGGATCGGGGCAATATGTGATTTTCATCATGCATTATTATTTATTATTTGTATTGCAGCAGCATCCAGAGGCCTCAGTCAAGGATCAGGACCCCATTTTGCGGGGCACTGTACAAACACTGAACAAAAAGATGGTCCCTACCCTCAAGACTAACAAATTATATCCATATATGTGTGAAAAGGGGCTGGAAAGAGCCACAGGTCTTTGTAAACCAGTCTGAAGGAAACATATGCATTGGTGGTTGGTGTCTCTTTGTAAAGAACAAATGAGCTATTCTAAATGTCTACCTAAAATCATGGGATGGCAGTAGCCATCCTGAGTATGTAAGCAAAAGGATAAGGACCAGTGTGTTACTAACCTGCAATGGGTGTGTTTTTCATGTACATTAGAGTTTGTAAGTTCCAAACAGAAACCAAAAATGTGGTCACATTCTGGCTTAGAAATTCTCTCTTACCTAGGTGAGGTACAGATCTAGTGAATTTTTGAGTACCGGAAGAGCTGAGGTGAAGGTGGATTGCAAAAGTGGTTTGGCCCTTGACTGTTTCTATATAAATTATTTAAAATACTGTCCCAAGGATGCTAGCTCCTAACTTCCATTGCCTTGCTGAATGCTGATTATCCTCTTTGTGCTCTGCTGGGTGTAGGAGAAAAGCAATTTTGTGACATCATTTTTTATGTCCTCCAGAGAAAGAGAGTGAAGGGAGGACACAAGAATCAGGCAGAATTAAAAATAAAAATGCACATGGCCATCTTTATCCATCATAAAGGAGGGACAGGCTGGCTTTGTGCTTTGTAGTTCAACTTTAAATTTGAGCTGTGCTCAGCAAATTTCTCAGCCGCTCTCGGCAGCTCTGGAAAACAGGTGAGGTTGTGATGAAGGTGCTTAGAGAGGTGTATGATCTGATTATAGAGCAGTAGAACTCCGTTTTGAGAAATGGTCACAGCTCCTCGGGGAAACTAGAGGCCAGTTGGTTGGTGTTCAATATTTTTACACAGATAACACTAGAGCCTGGACAAATTGAGTGAGATGAGTTAGTCCCACTCTGATGAGATGTGTCTGGGAGCGACTACATTGGGCAGACAATGCACTAAGTTACAACATACAGTATTCTCCTGGACCCTTTGGCAATAGGAAAATACCAATAGGAAACAGGCAATAGAAAAGCCATTATATAATGCCCTATTCGGAGCAGGGACTCTTGTGGGCTCTGACACAAACTACGCTTGGTGGTACAGGGTCTCTCTGTGTCCAAGCTGAAATGACTACATTTACAGCCAACGAATGTTTGCCACAGAGGTGAAAAAGAGGGCACTGCTTCCTTTGACAGCTAGATTCAGGACACGTGACTCTCCCTTCTTCCAACCACCTGGACTCTTGCTCAGAAATCTGGGAATCAGCAGAAAGGGTCTGGAATATCTCCCAGTTGTGGAAGACAGAAGCACATGACTCCAGAAGGCAATTTTCCAGAGGACCAGAGAATATTCATTCAGCTCAGTTAAACAGAAAAATAAATGGGGTTTTTAACAGGAACCCAAATTAATGAACTAAAGCAACAAAAGCCAAAGAAGAATTCTCTAACAATGCTACACAAGGACAGGTTTGCCATCCTCCCAGCACACGATGACTTATGGTGATCCTTTTCAGACTTTATAGGAAACCATCTCCCCAGATGTCTGTCCTTCCTGAGCCAGCCCTCGGATTCAATTAACCTTCCTGTGGAATTCTCAGGGCTTCTATAGCTAAGAGAACTTCCAGAATTCCCCCTATTAAGTGGCTCTGTGCCTTCTTTCCCAACAGGCACAAAACCAAAATCATCCCCAAACAAAGAAAAATCTTATTCTGTCAATTGTCTGATCCAGCCACAGTCATCTCAATAGGGTATCATGGTCAGGATAAAGTTTGTTTAGTCCAGGTACAATTATTACCTTGAAAACAGATAAATAGTTACAGTCTAATTAGATTGATTTTCCTATCTTACTTGTCAATCCTGTACTTTATTAAGTTCCTTCTTTTACATATTTTGTATTTGTTTTCTCTCCCCTTATAACTTTTTTTATATGTCACTATTAAATCCCAATCAAATATCCATTGTTTTAAAGAAAGAAAGTTCGGATCCCAGTTCAGCCAGCCTGGATGCATTGTGACACTGGGATGATGGTGTAGGCATGTGTCACTAATGAGCCAAACACACTCAGGAGGAATATTTCACATTCCACTTAGCCAGTGGGTAATTGTAGCTTTTAAAATGTTATGAGTTGAACAAAAAATAAAAAAAGTGTGAAAAAGAGGCAAAGGAAGCTAGAAAAAATTAATAGGAACCATTTATTCTCTTCTGCATCCTAGTATGGATAAACCCAGTGTTCCATTAGTTGTGTAAATGTGTGCAAACACTAACGGTATGTCTACACTACGAAATTAGGTCAAAGTTATAGAAGTCGGTTTTATAGAAAGCATTTTTATGCTGTCGATTGTGTGTCCCCCCACACAAATGCTCTACGTGCATGTAGTCGTCAGAGTGTGTCCACAGTACCGAGGCAACCATCGACTTCCGGAGCGTTGCACTGTGGGTAGCTATCCCACAGTCTCCGCCATCCATTTGAATTCTGGGTAGAAATCCCAGTGCCTGATGGGGTTAAAACATTGTGGTGGGTGGTTCTGGGTACACATTGTCAGGCCCCCCTTCCCTCCCTCCTTCCATGAAAGCAAGGGCAGACAATCGTTTTGCACCTTTTTTCTTGAGTTATCTGTGCAGACGCCATACCACGGCAAACATGGAGCCCGCTCAGCTAACCATCACCGTATGTCTCCTGGGTGCTGGCAGACGTGGTACTGCATTGCTACACATAGCAATTTATTGCCTTTTGGCAGCAGACAGTGCCGTATGACTGGTAGCCGTCGTCGATGTAGTCCTGGGTGCTCTTTTAACTGACCTCGATGAGGTCAGGGGCGCCTAGGCAAACATGGGAGTGACTCAGCCAGGTCATTTCCCTTTTAAGTTTCGTCTCATGGCGATTGAGTCCTACCGGCAGTGCACTGCCTTTTAATCAGCAGCCAGCAGAAGATGATGGCCAGCAGTCATACTGCACCATCTTCTGCCGAACACCCAGGAGATGACGATGGCTCGTGGTCGTACTGCAGTCTGCTGCCAGCAAGATGTATAAAGATAGATGAAGTGGCTCAAAACAAGAAATAGACCAGATTTGTTTGTATTCATTTTCTCCTCCCTCCCTCCGTGAAATCAACGGCCTGCTAAACCCAGTTTTGAGTTCTATCCTTGAGGTTTTGAGTTCTATCCTTGAGGGGGCCATTCAGTTTCTCGGAAAGCCACCCCCTTTGTTGATTTTAATTCCCTGTAAGCCAACCCTGTAAGCCATGTCGTCAGTCACCCCTCCCTCCGTCAGGGCAACGGCAGACAATCGTTCCGCGCCATTTTTCTGTACAGATGCCATACCACGGCAAGCATGGAGCCCGCTCAGATCACTTTGGCAATTAGAAGCACATTAAACACCACACGCATTATCCAGCAGTATATGCAGCACCAGAACCTGGCAAAGCGAAACCGGGCGAGTAGGCAACGTCAGTGTGGTGACGAGAGTGATGAGGACATGGACACAGACTTCTCTCAAAGTACGGACCCTGGCAATGTGGGCATCATAGTGCTAATGGGGCAGGTTCATGCAGTGGAACGCCGATTCTGGGCTCGGGAAACAAGCACAGACTGGTGGGACCGCATAGTGTTGCAGGTCTGGGATGATTCCCAGTGGCTGCGAAATTTTCGCATGCGTAAGGGCACTTTCATGGACTTTGTGACTTGCTTTCCCCTGCCCTGAGGCACAATAATACCAAGATGAGAGCAGCCCTCACAGTTGAGAAGCGAG